TCTTTACGCCATCCAGTACGTGGGAACTAAGTTTACTAGTGGGACTAAGTGTTGACAAACAAAAACCATGAGTACCGGGAATTCAACTAGGTAACTGACTTGGCCCAATGACCACCCAAATTCTATTTCTGATACTATATTTGAGCATCCAATTCAAAACCATTTGGTAGTGAATGGAGAGGCCCCTTAAGCATACAAATTAATATTGGGTAGTCTTAATAATTCAATGTGGACATAAGCTCTCTTTGCAATATGTACTACAACTTTTAAACATTTCTTATCACAATGTAGATATAATAAGAATACTCCATTGCTTGTCCATAGAAAAAAAAGGCGTACTTAGTGCACGAGACTCCCGCTATTGCTGGGGACAGCTAGATATATGCCATTACTTGTCCATAGAAGTTATGAGAAATAATCAAATATGCCATATGGAGCATTTTTTAGTTTTAAGTTTCTGCATATTGTAGAGATAAACCATTTACCATTCAATCACACAATTTTTGGTACCTCTGGAAGGAACTAATTGAAAAGTTCCTTGAAGATCTAAAAGTCATTCTCAAAATGGGATTATAGTGAAAAAAGCAGTAGTTTTGAATAGAAACCAGGAAGTAAATATTAATGGAAATATGATTTTAAACAATTGCCAAATTAGATTCTAGGAACTTCCCTTTTTTAATTAGGCCACCCACCTCGGTTAGGGTGGCTATGAGCTTACCAATATTGAGGACCTCTCCATGTAGTTCTTCAAACATATGGCTTTCTTGGATCTCAATAACAACGAAAAAACCACTCACCCACTTCCTGAGATCTGCTTGTCAAATAATGGTGATATTTCATGTTTTAGTCTGATGTATTCACTTTTTTGACGGGCGGCTGTTGAAGTTGTTGAGGAAGCAAGGACAGTCCTTGAATGGCCAAGACACAATCAAGGGAATTGCAAAGAGGAGTATTAATCAGTTTTTATAATTATCGAAAGATTGCTCAACCGTCCAATGGAAATGTGATGTTTAATCTATTGATGGAAAGCTCATGCTCAACCATCTGAATATGGTTGAGTCTAAGGGCAGTGGCTTGTGAGAAAAGTTGGATGTTAAGTCTATATGTCATATTCCTTCATCCATGCTCCTTGGCACTTGGATTGCCAGGAACAAAGGTGTTGGGATGTTTACAAGAGAAGTAATGCTTTCAACTGGGTATATTGACAATGGAAGACATGCATATGATTAAATATGGTTGTTAGCTTCTGAATATCCAGAATCGCAGGCAGACATGTGTCTACCATGGATGATGGATTTACAAATACTCTGGAAGATCAGATGTTTAGTGCAATGTCCTCTTGGCACAAGAAAAAAAAACAATTTGGTGCATGTTTATGCGGATGGTTAATTTGTGTGGGGTGAATCTGGTTGTATATGGACTTGGGCATTGTTTACTTTTTGGCTAAGAATACCATATACAGAGAGATTATATACAACGAAGAAAATAGTTGAAACTTTAGTATCTAAAAATTAGGATTTGAGAGAAAAGAAAGAGAGAGATTGTGAAAATAATATAATGCTTATATGGTATTGTTGATCTATACTCTACACCACATAGTTATGTTAGAGTGATACCAGATGCAATTACAATATTGTGCTACACTAGAATATTCTGATAAATAACAAATAACAATAATAGAAAATAAGAACTCTAGAAAAAAGATTAAAGTTGCACTGAGACAATGATGTAGGATAGGAAAGACTATAAATCACATAACAGAATGAGAAAAAGAAGAAAGAAGATGGGGTGGAAGGGGTTTTCCTCATCCTCGCATGGAATCGGTGAAGAAACACACATTCTCCACGAAAAATCACCTTTTATTATATCAGTCTCTCTAATTTAAAATAGTTGGGATTACACCATTATTTATAGGCCAAGTTCTCTACCAAAATAAAAACTATTCTCCTTCTAAAATTCTAAAAGAGTTTCATAACCAAACTCTCAAATCCTTATACTACTAAAACTCTGTAATAATTTCTTAGTCAAACAAATATTACTTAACTAATAAAATAATACTAAAACAAATAATAAAATTCAATTCTTCAATTTAAGCTCATCCAATCCCTTTTCGATCTTTATTTATTCTCCTCGGCTAAAAAAAAACTCTTTTCTAAAGAGTTGATGTAACAAGAATACTCCAAGAGAATTGACATGTGAAACACATCTTCAAACCCGATAGCATAGAAGTAAGATTTTCCTTCAGTGACGTAATATAGGATATCACAATGGAAAGAATCTATATCTCGAATTTTTATAACCTTCACACTTTGTTCTGGATAAAAGGATAATGAGGATGTTGACGAAAAAGTAGCAATTCCATCTAAAAAAATCACGTTTGAAACTTGCTTAACTTCATCTGTAGGAACACTTTTTGCAATCGGTTTATCAAAAACAATTGTTGTAGTATGCGTATAAGTAGAACTTTTAGGCTCATCAACATTGAATAACTTCAGTTTATCTCCATTCAATCGGATTGAAACTTGTAGTGGTGGAACTTGTGGTGGTGAAACTTATGGTATAACTGGAGGGCTGTGTTCAAGCACTTTTTGATTGACAGTTGAAGAGATAAAGTTAAAATCTTCACTTGTTTTAGTTTCATAAACTGTAGCGAGCACAAGCTCTCTCAAGGAATCGGTGGATGCTTGAATTGTATCTAGTCTAGCATTCGTGGCCTTTTGTGAATCAACTTGTGTGTGAGATAAAACCTCTACTTTAGGATTTAATTTGGCATTGGAAGCCATATTGATTGGAAGAGAGTTTTAAGATTTTTTTTTTTGAAAATTATGAGGTCAATCTGTAATTTCGAAAAATTCTGGGGCTAAAATGTAATTTCCAAAAATTTAGAGGCCAAACTATAATTTAAGAAATTTTTGGGGCCAAAGTATAATTTCTAAAACTTTTGGGGGGTGAAAGTGTAATTTTAAAAACTCTAGGTAATTTTGGAAGGTGTGAGGGTGTTTGTGTTATGGGTTTTATGTAGGAGGCAGTGGGGCTGCCAGGTTTATGACAACAGACGGATCTCAAGAAACACCACCACAATCGAGATGATCGAAGTGAAGTTTTCATACCAAACTGGTGCAAGACGGGAAAGAATAGAAATCACATAATAGAATGAGAAGAAGAAAAAAGAGGGGGTGGAAGAGGTTACCTCATCCTCGTAAGGAATCAGTGAAGAAACACACATTCTCCGTGGAGAATCAATTTTTATTATATCACTCTCTCTAATTAAAAACAGTTAGAATTACACCATTATTTATAGGCTCATTTCCCTAACAAAATAAAAACTATTCTCCTACTAAAATTCTAAAAGAGTTTCATAATCAAACTCTCAAATCCTTATCCTACTAAAACTCTATAATAATTTTATAGTCAAACTCTAATTAATACTCTTAGTCAAACAAATATTCCTTAACTAATAAAATAATACTAAGTCTAAAATAAATAATAAAATTCAATTCTTCAATTTAAGCTCATCCAATCCCTTTTCGATCTCTATCAAACAACAACTTGCACATGGCTTAACTGGTAAAAGGAGAAACAAGAAGCAGTAGAGAACTTTCAGAAACATGATTCTTAGGAGCTCACGTAATCTTTTCTGCTCTTCAGAAAATACATCCTAGTTATTTTATGATTATAAAAAGATAACTTGCATATAAAAACTATGAACTTTTGCCCATAACATGTGCCACATTCTTTGCTACACTTACATTGCCAGCACCTGAAGTGTGAAAGAAAGACAACCTGTGGAGACAACAAAATGAGTCAGGCCACTGCCTTAAACATGGTGAGAAGCCGTTCCAGGTGTGTGCTAGTCTCAGCTCCAAAGAGGTTTTTGTTTGGGATGAAAGCACCTCCGCCCCATTTTTCAAAACCCACTTCCTTCAAGTAATTCCTTGCCTGCCCAAGCTGCACTACCTTTCCAGGCACAGCCAGATAATTGACTGAATACTATCTGAAAAATCTTCTATCATCCTAATGGTTTACAAGAATCGGGGTGGAATTGATGTGCGGCACCAACAAGATCATAATTAGCCCAGAATTTCCGAAGACATGCTAAGTTTTCTTGGAAGCAATCATTGACATCTAAAACTACAGTTGCCTTCGTTACTGAATTGTGTTCCATGAAATGCAGCCAATCTTTAAGAGAAACAGGGCTACCTCCATCAAAACTGATTAGAGGGGCAGATGCAAGCCTGACTTGATAACAGATGGCCTATCTACTCATGACATGAACACAGATAGAGATATCAGAATTTGGTAAATTCCGTATCAACTGAGTAGCTCAGTGGATGTATGTTATTGAGGGGACTAGGGTGAAGTTGCACTTTGTGGGAAATGAAGGCAGCCATGCCATCACATATTTCAGACACTCGCACTATTATATGGGACAGCCTACTTCCTATGCTACTTTTTTGACCTTTGTTGACAATGAAGTTTTCTGGAGGACCATTTATACCTGTTCCATAAGAAACTTGACTCAGAAAAATTGTGCACTTAATTCTTTGGCATTAATAATTATAAACCTTGAAGATATCTTGTTAAAAGATTGTACTTGTTATTCTCTGCGAGTGGCACATGCCGCAAAAGCACGAGAAAATTGGCCCTTGCTTTATATTTTCATGGTAGCTTTTGCTTGTTTAACTTGCAGAGAAACAGACAACATTGCTGGTCTTTAAAATGTGTCTATATGTTATTTTTGTTGGTTTGGTTTCTGACTAATTAACTCAAATGAACATGCTATTTCCTGCAGCTACACAGATTACTATTGACTTCCCTATATTGTGGAGTGAGTTGTCCTCATTTTTTCTTGGTGTATTTCCTCTAGCCGCCCCTTTTTCCTTCCTGGTGCTTTCTGTACTGCTACTTGTGGAATCCGGAGATAGCAGAATCTGGGAGCTTGTTTGATCTTGTTCTCTGTCCTTGTTGAAAGCAAAGATAATAGGAAAGATTTTTTCAAGATGTCTAGCTCTGCAAAATCTTTGGAACCTGCATTTCAAGGAGCGGGTCAGAGAATGTATCCTTACAAGTAGGACTTCATGTTGTAGATGAATTGGTTTGGTAAATACTATTATTTTACTTTCCCTCCCAGGACAAAAGAAAGAACTAAATATCATGCATGTGTGTGTGTTTTTTTTGTGACTGGAATTTTTTTAATGCTGAACTTCTGGCAGTTGCACATTTCCCTTCTGGAGTTGTACTTAACACCTTGTAGTGGGACTGAAATTTGGAGAATTGAGAATTTCCAGCCAGTTCCTTTGCCAAAATCTGGCTATGGTAAATTCTACTCCGGTGATTCATACATTATATTGCAGGTGCATACAGTTTTCATACTCATTTTAATTTTTATCTCCATTTCCATTTTGTTGACAAATTTACATTTTCAATTGTCTTTTCAGTCTGATTTATTTTGTGGTAAAATAAAATTACACTGGAAGGGTTGTATTTTTGCATTATCCATTTTTTTTATTTACTATATATTTCCGCAGACCACTCCTGGCAAGGGAGGTGCTTATTTATATGACATACACTTTTGGCTTGGAAAAGATACTAGCCAGGTATGATCTTGTTATTCTTCCTGTTCTTATTTAGAACTTGCACTTGCCTTGGATTATGTTCTCACTTGATATTATGCATTTATTTATTAATTTGATGACACTATGGACTTATAATAGGATGAAGCTGGAACGGCAGCTATAAAAACTGTGGAACTGGATGCAGTTCTTGGGGGGCGTGCAGTACAGCACAGAGAAGTTCAAGGTCATGAGTCGGACAAATTTTTGTCGTACTTCAAACCATGTATTATACCACAGGAGGGTGGTGTTGCCTCTGGATTCAAGAAACCAGAGGAGGAAGAGTTTGAAACACGGTTATATGTCTGCAGAGGAAAACGAGTTGTCAGATTGAAGCAGGTATGAGAACATTAAAACATCAAGTTCTTTAGATGAAGTAATTGTCAACGAAGATTTAATTAGATCATGGGTATATGAACTGGTCTTTCTTTTTATGTAGGTCCCTTTTTCTCGATCCTCGCTTAATCATGATGATGTGTTTATCCTGGACTCTAAAGATAAGATTTTTCAATTCAATGGTGCAAACTCCAATATACAAGAAAGGGCCAAGGCATTGGAAGTAATCCAGTTTTTAAAGGACCAGTATCACGAGGGGAAGTGTGAAGTTGCAATTGTTGGTAAGTTTATATATGATTACAACTTCACCGATGTTATTGTCCCCTGTTTAACACTGCCTCTACTTATTTAGATTTCTTGGATTAAGTTTTCTATTGCCTACCATTTTTGTTTGTAGTTTGCTAATTGATCATCCATTGGTTATTTTTAAAATGTTCACTGTGCCAGATGATGGAAAACTACAAGCCGAGTCAGATTCTGGTGAATTCTGGGTCATCTTTGGTGGATTTGCTCCAATTGGAAAAAAGGTAGCTAGTGAAGATGACGTTATCCTGGAGAAAACTCTTCCCAAACTCTATAGGTATTCTTCTCTTATGTAGTTTTGTTTTTGTTTCCAATTGAGGAGGTAGCTTTATATATTATAGTGTGGTGGTGATTTTCTTCGATATTCTAATTGCTTTAGTGGTCAGATAAAAAACACAAATACTTACAATTTCTTAGGTTTATATAGTTAAAAACAAATTTCAATAAGATTAAATCATTTGTTATTAAAGCAGGAAAAGTGAAAAAATCACTTCTATATATCTCTACGCAATGGATGGGGATTATCATTTTGTACAAAGAGCATGAACATATGATTAGCCCCAAGGTTTCATGAGAATAGAGAATATCCTTTAAATTTTGATTGTGAGCAGACAAAGGGGAGGAGAAAATTAATAGAGTGGTGAAACCGTGAAAGTGATTGAATTTTTATGCCAGTGAATCTGGCTGAAGTATTTGATCAAAAAAAAAAAAAAATCTGGCTAATAAGATTTTGAGGGATAGGAAGAGTGTAATTCCAACTTTTTTACTGTCTTCCTTTGATGAAAAGGTTGAATAGTTTGGCTAAGTTTCCAAGCAAAAATCAAGCAATGTGGTTCGAAGTAGAAGTTAGTTTTATTTCAAAGTAAAGCCCTAGATGTTGCAGAAGGGAGAAACAAGATTTATGTAGCTGACCACTAGCTGGTTGTGAAAAGGCTGAGTGGATTTTTATTCCATACTAGCAATGCACGTGGTGCATTGCATGTGAATAATTTTTTAAAAAAAATTAATAAATAAATATTTAGTATATGTGTAGTTAAATTAAATATCATCTCAAATTTACCAAACTTATTTTTTCATCGGTCATGCTCCATTACAGAATTTTTGAAAACTTTGTATGTTTTCAAGATTTGTTATTATAACTTTAAGAAAAATGATAGAAAAAAGAAAATAAATAATTAAAATTCTATTTTTTTTTATAATTTTGTAATTGAAAGTGATTTTAATGTTTGAAAATTAAATTTTTTAAAATTAATTTGATTAAGATTCTACTTATGAATTATTGAATAAAATAAAAATAATTGTTAATATATTAATCGTACTGGAACCTTACTATATTTAGGATTAGTTAGGTCAATTGAGATAAAATTTAATATATAACGCTATAATATATATTATAAAGCATATTAAAATTTTAAAAAAATTCAAGTTTTCACATAAAATCTTAAACACAATTTAAAAAATTTACTGTGACTAAAAAATCATGTAAAACTATATATACATTATTTTTATCTTAAAAATAAAATGGTTAAACATTTTGATAAAAAATAAAATATACATATGTAGTCATAATATTATCTTTATAAATGAGATGAGTAATATTATGTTGACGGAGTTTTTGAATATATATGTATATTTTGATTGATTATATTATTCTTAAAAAATATATGCATTACTCTTAATAATGCATATATTTTTTAAGAGTAATATAATCAATCAAAAAGTTTCATAAAAATTGACATTTATAAATAGAGAATAGATAATTAAAAAATTAATTTGATTAAGATTCCACTTATAAATCATTTAATAAAATAAAAATAATTATCAAAATACCAATCATGTTGGAACCTTATTGTATTTAGGAATATCTAGGTCAATTGGGATAAAATTTAATATACAATGTTATAATATATATTATAAAGTATATTAAAATTTTTTAAAAAATTAAGTTTTCACATAAAATCGTAAAACAATCTAAAAAGTTTATTGGGACTAAAAAATTATGTAAAAATTTATATGCATTATTTTTTATCTTAAAAATGAAAGGTTAAACATTTTGATGAAAAATAAAATATAAATACAGGGTTAAATATTTTGATGAAAAATAAAAAAATACATATGTAGTCATAGTATTATCTTTATAAATGTGGTGAGTAATATTATATTGATAAAATTTATGAAAGTTTTTTTGAATATTTTATTAAAACTTGTAATGATGCATATATTTTTTAAGAGTAATATAATCAATCAAAAAATTTCATAAAAATTGGCATTTATACATAGGGAATATATAATTAAAAGTAATCTTATATGTAATTTGGAGATTTAAATGTATAAGGATATGATGGTAATTTAGATATTAAGTGTAGAAGAATAAAGTGACCTTTTTAATTCTTTATGAGGGAAAAATAATTAATCAAAAATTTTTCATGTTGATGTATTTTTATTACAAGTATAAATGTGAGCTGGGAAGCCTGAGATATTCAAGATAAAAGATGCTATGCCGTGATGTCTGCTAGTTATTTTATTTAGCTGTAATTGCAGTGGTAAAAAGTCATGTGGCAATCTTTTTTGTTCTTATGCAGGAATGGTTTGGGTCTCTCTTCTGAGTGCACAATTTAATGCATTACTTTTACTATGTGTCAGATTCATAAATTTTTTCTATTTCTTTGACGCTGTTTGTTCTTTAGCTTATCTAGATGTACAGTAAAATCAGCGTTATTGCTGAAATATATTTTAATTATTTATTGGTATTAGTGAGCATCGGATTCTATTAACTCTCCAAGTAGTCTTTGTGGTGTGCACAATTTGTTATAAGTTGGTTGATGCGTTCTTGAGTGGTTTAAAATTAGTTACATCATCAGCCATATAGTGACAACAGAATAAAGTGGATGTAATTCAAATTCCTGTGTTATATTATCCTTTTTGGAATTTCTATGGATAGTACTCTGGGTGCGTTTTAGATTCCTGCTTAAACTCATTTCTATGTTTCTTATGGAAGGTTTATCTAGCTTGCTAATGTGTTGTGCATAGTGACTGAGATGACTAATTATAAACCTGTTTCCAGGTGCTTTTACAATTCTATGTTTGATATAATTCTCACCCAGAGGAATATACTGTAATTCAAAATTGTTTCTCGATTTTCTCATGTTCAATATGGTGCTCATTTCTAAGGAGAAGCATCAATAAGTGGCATCATTAAGGAATGATACTTCAGTATCTCATTGAAGTTGCATGCTTAATTTGCTTACTATTCTGAGTTGAGTGTGTTTTTTTTTATAATACCAAAGTGCTATGCTCTATATTTGTTTGATTTTTCTTTAGCAATTTTTCTGCTCCATGCAAGTTTTTGGTTGCTCATTCTGTGTGTACATGTTCTCCACTATTAGAATTGTTAGTTGTTACTATAAGGGAAGCTTTGTAACACGTAGGTATTTAGTAGTATTATGTGCCAATTTTCGATAGCCTATGGTTTGCAGCATTGATGATGGTCAAGTTAAGGGTGTAGATGGTGAACTTTCCAAGTCTTTATTGGAAAACAACAAATGCTATCTATTGGATTGTGGGGCTGAGGTGTTTATTTGGGTCGGTCGGGTAACACAAGTGGAGGATCGGAAAGCTGCCAGCCAAGCTGCTGAGGTAAAGCTTAATTTTTGTATATTCATGTTGTTTGTAATGTCATTTGCCCTTTTATGTTATGCTAATAGCATTATGATTCTTGTTTTTAATATTGTCCCAGGAATTTGTTGCTAGCCAAAACAGGCCAAAGTCAACACGTATGATCCAGCTAATTCAAGGTTATGAAACACATTCCTTCAAGTCCAACTTTGATACCTGGCCATCAGGTTCAGCACCTTCTGCTTCTGAGGAGGGAAGAGGAAAAGTAGCAGGTAGATTCACATCCTTACTCATGAAATGCTCCGAAATATTTTCTGTTTATAGTTGTTATTTATCAAACTGTTTTCGTATTGCTAGCTATGCTAAAGCAGCAAGGAGTTGGTGTCAAAGGAGTGACCAAAGGTGCTCCTGTAAATGAAGAAGTCCCACCTTTGCTTGAAGGTGGTGGAAAAATTGAGGTTTGGGTGGATAATTTGTTTCTGTTTCCATCGTGGTTTTTTGGGGTGTATTCAAAGGGTGATTAAAACTCGGATGCATAAGACAAATAATATACCTGTTTTCCAGGTATGGCGTATTAATGGAAGTGCCAAGACCTCAGTGCTCAAAGAGGACATTGGCAAATTTTACAGTGGAGATTGCCACATCATTCTTTACACCTACCATTCTAATGATAAGAAAGAAGATTACTACTTGTGCTGTTGGATTGGAAAGGATAGCATCGAGGTAATCTACATTGCTACTGCCAGAAGGAAAAGGATGCATGCATACAGAAAGACTGACACACAAACGTGTCTTTTACAAATGCCTTTTAAAATTCCGTTCTTGCTTTGGTTTCCCCCCCCCCCCCCCTTCAATTGCATTTTTTGTTTGACAAGATCGATCTTTGTTCTTTTTGGAGGGATATCATATTTTCACTTTAGATCATTACAATCTTATGAAGCTGGACTTGGAGACTGTTTTTCCTCTCTTTTTTAGATAGGTTTATCAGGGTAATGTACGTTAGATTAGTGTAATATTTAATTAATTTTTCCAAAAAGGCAATAACACATAAACCTTCTTTTGTCTTCAATTCAGATGTCAATTAATGGATTACAAATGTGTTAGTGGCCTTCTATCTGATGAAGATGTGCATAAAAAAAAAAACCTCATTTGAAATTTTATGTAATCAATCATGTCAAACTTGTCCATTCTTCTTTATCTAAAAAACTTGAAGAACTCCTGAAGGGTTTGCTAAAGCCATCTGTATATGTTGTGAAATCATTGGCCAACATTTGCTGTTCATCTATCTCCGTTTCGGTACTTCACTCCTCCTTGGAGCACCTAACAATTGTCTTTTGGCTTTCAACTTCATCTCTGTGCTCCATTTCTTGCTTTTTACAATGTTTGGACAATTTGTGGCATATTTTGGTCAATCATATTTCCTTATTCGGCTGTATTGTAACTCAAGTTTATATTTCAAAACTAATATTATGTACTGCTTTTCTGTGTGAATAGTTGTCCTACCCAAGAGCTTTATGTTTGTATTTGTCCCTGTAACTTTCTTTGTCATTGTTGTACAATGAGATGAGGTCAACGTAACTACCATAGATTTGATATACATATTTAATTCGCACTTTCACGGAAGTTGAAATCATTGACCAACTTGATCATCTTTCCCTTCTTTTTTTGGTGGGCTTTTGCGTTTTTTTTGGCCCCCCCGGGGGCGGTGAGAATCGCAGGTTAATTACTGTGCTGGAAGCTGGAATAATATCTATCCTATTTCTTTCCCCACCATTCTTTTCATTGTATGTCATTTAAATATTTCTGCATCCACTAGATGTTCTGGTGATCATACAAAATATGGAGACTTAATAAATTTTAGGAAAGTTTTTTTTACTATATAACTTCATTTTTTTTTTCGGTTTTACCACTGGTTGGTTAGTCATTCATTGATATTTATTTTTAATATAGTTAATTTTTTTTAGGAAGACCGAAAAATGGCTGCTCGGTTGGCTACTACAATGTCCAACTCACTGAAGGGCAGACCTGTGCAGGTATTTTAGTGTCGTCTTATTTTTCACATTAGAAAAAGCAATGATGACTAGGATGAAATATGTGCTTCATGCAGGGTCGCGTATTCCAAGGGAAAGAGCCACCACAATTCGTTGCTATCTTTCAGCCTATGGTGGTCCTTAAGGTACCCTCCTCACATATATAACTTTGAAATTATATTGCTGTTTCAATAAAAATAAGACAAAATTAATGATGTGCATCCCAAAATTGTTCCTAAATTTTGTCCCTTCGGGGACATCCGATAAAATTAGAACGATACAGAGAAGATTGGTAAACAATAGGTCTTTGGTCCAATGATACTCCTTATCTTATGAAAATTTTATCTTCTTGAGGTCAAGGGTTTAAGTCCCCCCTCCCCTTAAAAAAAAAAAAAAAGTTCAAAGGTTATCATGGTTTCTTTAAATTTTAATGAGCTGATTCTTTTGTTAGGGTGGAATGAGTTCTGGGTACAAACACTATATAGCAGACAAGGGTTTGAATGATGAAACTTACACTACCGATTGTGTTGCACTCATTCGGATATCAGGAACTTCTGTGCATAACAATAAAGTTGTGCAAGTTAATGCGGTATGCTCATTGGTTTTTTCTTTCTTCGGGTAACTCTAATTTATTTTTCGCTAGTATTTATAATTTGTGGGAAGAATAGTGTGCTTGTTATTCTCATTGATGAATATCACCTTTCTCTTTCTATAGAGCTATTTACCTTCCATAATGATGGCGCAGCCATTGGTTGGTTGGACTAATACAATCGACTTTGGAAGTCTTGGCGAAAGACCAGGAATTTTTGATCCAAAGAAAAATGTAATTGGTAGTGTTATTATTAATATTATTATTTGATTTATGAGTAGTTGTTTGACTAGGAGTAGTAATTAAAATTTGATTAGGAAATTATTATAGAATTTTAGTAGGGTAGGATTTAAGAGTTTGATTATGAAACTCTTTTAGTATTTTAGTAGGAAAGTAGTTTTTATTTAGTAGGGGACTTGACCTATAAATAATGTTGTAATTCCAACAATTTTTATTAGAGAGTGATATAATAAAAAATGATTCTCTGTGGAGAATGTGTATTTTTTCACCGATTTCTTGCGAGGATGAGGTAAATCCCTTTCACCCCCTCGTCTTTCTTCTTCTCTTTCTATTCTGTGATTTCTAATCCTTCCCGTCCTACATCAGTTTGGTATTAGAGCGAAATTTCGATGTATTAGTTTCTTGCCAAGTTACTATTCATCACCGATGAAAAAACAGCACAACAATTATAATTTTTGTTCACACCAGATTCTTCGTCTTTGTAGCACGTCAGTCGTTTGCATCGTCATCAATCAGGTTGATTGTCATTACCATTACTATTCCTTTTCCCACTTTTGGCTCCCTTTGTTGTGGCTGAATTTTGGAAAAAAAAATCTCATCTTTGAATGAGTATCCAAAACCCAAACACTGTCCAGCCCAAAAAAAAAACATATATATAGCTCACAACTGTGACCCAAGCCAAGGCTAAATTCTGCCCAACCCAAAAGCCTACACAAAAAAAATAATAAAAAAATAGCCCAATATCATGACCGACCCATCTGAAATTATACAAACACCCCCAAATCTTCTCTGAAGTTATAGATTTTACCCCAAAAGTTTTAGAAATTATACTTTTACCCCCAAAATGTTAAGAAATTATACTTTGGCCCCAAAATTTTTTGAAATTACGTTTTGGCCCCTAAAGTTTTGAAAATTGTAGTTTAGCCCCAAATTTTCTCAAAATTATAGATTCACCTCAGAATTTTTTTTAAAATTTTTTTTTAAAACTCTTTTCCAATCTATATGATTTCCAACGCCGAATTAAATGTTAAAGTGGAGGCTTTATCTCAAGGACAAGTTGATTCACAAAAAAACCATGAATGAGAAGATGGATTCACTAGAGGTGTCCATAACATCACTAAATGAGATGATGGAAGCTTATCTGTTAAAGGAATTGAGAAAAACGCCGATAATACTCCATTATCTTCAGTTATCAATCCTCCACATGTACTTGCACAAACCCTTCCACCACGAGCTCAAGTTCAAGAAGAACCCAGATTATTTGATGTTGATGAAGGGGTTAAGCTAGAAGTTGGAGATTTTCTTGGGGCTAATAATTCCGAAACATTCCTTGATTAGTTGCATAGCCTTGAAAGCTTCTTCAGATGGCATTTTTTTGACTGATGAAAGGAAGTTATTTTTTGCAAAATTTATGTTACAGGGTGTAGCAAGGCTTTGGTGGGTAAATTACTAATAAACTCATTTTAATAGATCATGGGATGATATGAAGACTACTATGACCCGCTACTTTGTGCTTGCTAATTATAAGCAACAAGCTCATCTACAGGATACACAATTGAATTAAGGGAGTATGTCTATCGAGGAGTACACAGGAAAGTTCTACAGCTTGGCTACCCAATCAGAGTTCCCATGGATTCAGGATGTGATGATTGTCATGTATAAGCAAGGTCTCAATTCACAAATTTCTATAGATTTAGCTACAAGTAGACTTTACACCATGGCAGATGCAGTTCAGGTTGCCTATCAGATGGAAGATCAGTTGAAAAAGAGATCTTATATGAGATATTCTAATTTCTATGGCACCTCCAATCCGGATCGAGAGAACTGTCATATATGTAAGTCAAGGTAAATCCACTAATAAACCCCAAGATAATACTTTTACTCCAAATAAACCATTTCGGACTAGTGCTAATTCTTCTTCTCAAGGGACTACTAATTCTAAGACGAGGTGTTTTAATTGTCATGGTTTTGGTCATCTCTCTTTTTAATGCCCTTCAAAATCTGTTGTGGTTGAAAAGAAAAATTCCAAGGTGCATAATGATTCTAATGAACCAGAATTTGAAACAGAGATTGTAGAACCTCTTGATATGGGTGAGGTTAATTTTGATGATTTGAATGATGATCATTTTATGGGTGTTATCCGTCCTTTACTTATTGCTAATAAAAAAGTTGTTAATAGTGAGTTTATTCATTGAGGAAAAATCTTTCAAACAAGAGTTTGTTGTGAAGAAAAAATATGCTTGTTAGTGATTGACACGGGAAGTTGCATAAATGTGGTATCAGAAGAGGTCGTGAAGAAACTAAATTTGAAAGTTGAACCACATTCGAAACCATATTATGTGGCATGGATTACTAATATCAAGCTGAAAGTTGATAAGAGATGTCTAATTACATTCACCATCGGAAACATGAAAGAGACTGTTATGTGTAATGTGTTGTTTTTCAAGCTTTGTCATATACTTTTAGGGCGTACTTGGATATGAGATCGTGATGCACAACATACGAGGCGTGCTAATACCTATTCTTTTGCAATTGGAAGAAAGAAGTATACTCTTACTTGTGCTACTGATGTGCGTACACTACAATTGAAAAAGAGGTCGTTATTGATTCAGAGAGCTTCTCCATCAGATGGTATTCTTGCTCCTTCTCCTTACTCGCTAGAGTCGAGTTCTTATCAGAGGGGAATAATTGATGGTGCAGCCATTGGTTGTTTGGACCAATACAGTCAACTTTGGAAGACTAGGTGAACAATTAGGAATTTTTTGTCCAAAGGAAAGTGTAATTGATAATTTATTATTATTATTATTATTTGATTTATAAGTAGCCCGTTTGACTAGGAGTAGTAATTAAAATTTGATTAAGAAATTATTATAGAATTTTAGTAGGATAGGGATTTGAGAGTTTGATTATGAAACTCTTTTAGTATTTTAGTAAGAAAGTAGTTTTTATTTTAGTAGGAGACTTGGCCTATAAATAATGGTGTAATTTCAACTATTTTTATTAGAGAGAGTGATATAATAAAAAGTGATTTTCTGTGGAGAATTTGTGTGTTTCTTCACCGATTTCTTGCGAGGATGAGGTAAACCCCTTCCACCCCCTCTTCTTTCTTCTTCCTTTTCTATTCTATGATTTCTAGTCCTTCCCGTCGTACATCACATAAATTTGAAGCTCCGTATTCCTGGTCTTATATTGACTTGACACCTATTCCTGTGTTGCAATACTGCTTCCCAATACTAACATAGTGCAATGTTGCTTTCTTTATATGATCATACATTTTAAACTTTTGTGGAGTAAATGGTCACCCACCCACCTAATGTGGAAAGTGGTTAGAGGTTCTGGGTTTGAATGAAAAAAAGGCAAGGTGCTGCAGCTTGCTCTATTTTACCGTCATTATGGTGATCTAGGGTGACAGAAAAAGGACCTTTTCGATAGATATGCTGCTTGGAGCAGATGTTGCATTTCGTTATGGTCTATTGAATTTCTAGGGTATGCACCATCGTCTGGGAGGCTAGCTCATTCTCATCTTCTCCTATAACCAGTCATCTTCGGGCATCCTTGAGGTGATAGCTCCTCCATTTGAAGTATTGGGTAGTTGGGGAGCTTGCTGATCGAAAATCCCATTATTGATCAAAGGGAGCTTACTGTGGGAAACTTGAAAATACAATTTGAAGGGAGGCAGGCATTGATCCTACCAGATGAGTATCTGGACTCTTAACTGTTCTGACGAACAGTCACTAATCAGTTATACTTTTCCAGAAGATGATTGGAAATTGGTCCGATCATGTCAGAAGAAGTGAACTATAGAATAAATGTATCACCCAGAACCAAAAGTATCAGCCATTACCGATACAATTCAGCCAAGTCATATTCTACTCGTCACCTTCCGAACCAATACTGTTCCACAATTCATTTACATCATGAGTCTCACTTGACTCGGTTGAGTTCTCTTTTGGGATGCCGCAACCGATCCATCTTAGTCCCTTCAAATCGATGGTTGATTCTAGGACCTTGAACCTTGGCCAGAACTCATCGGCATATTATTTTGTCTTCCACGTCTGGTGCGGCAAATTGTCTGGGCACAGGAGTAAAAATTTCAAAATGTGCTTTTTTTCAGTGGGACGCATCTCCATTGCTCTAAGGTTAAGTAAACAGGAGACCCATACATACCGCCGTCTAGCACAAGAAACTTGAGTGCTTTACTGTCAATTTTCAGCCTGGTGGAAGGGATATTCCTCTTTATTGAACTGACAAGTAACTGATGTGGTGACCAGCCTAACTTAATAGAAATGAATAGCAATTTGCATGACATGACTGTATATCTGCATGTCATCAGGAATTCTGTTGGAGACTTAAAAGTAATTTTCTTGACACTTTTGACAACATTAGCTTACGTATAATTCATTTTGGCTCAGGTTGCAACCTCATTGAACTCAAATGAGTGTTTCCTTCTACAATCTGGCTCTTCAATATTTAGTTGGCATGGAAATCAGAGTACCTTTGAGCAGCAGCAGTTGGCTGCAAAAGTTGCAGAATTTTTTAAGGTATGCTCTTTGCAGAAGATTCTCTTGATATTATGTATCTATCAGTAGTTATTTTTTGTGTTGACCCTAGGAAGTATGAAGGGCATGATTTTCTCAACCTTTTCAGAAGTTTTTCTTTCTTATAGCTTCCTTTAATTGGAAAGTTGATTTAATTAAGTTTAATTTTCTTCATATAAGTTAGTGAGAGTCTAATTTCATTTTTTTGTGGTTATTATTTTTTTTTTAATTTCACCCCGTGCATAAGCATTGAGAGCTTCTTTGATGGGAAAGTGTTAATTGAGAAGTATTCTACGGACTCTTTTTTTTTCTATAGGCAACAATGTTTTATTAATAATTGAAAAAGGTTACAAAAAATCAATCAAAAGTGGGTAAGTCATCCAACCCAATGCTAGCTGAAAAAGAAAACCAAAATAAAAACCATACAATCACAACTAGGAATATTACCACCACACTAGATTTCACACGATGTTGACCAACTCACAATAATGCACAAAAGAGGGAGATTCTCAAACCCCTTGGACACCGATGGCCAAAAAAGGCCAAAAAAAATAAAGTCTATCCCATAAACTTTTAACCTACTCGCATTTATCTTTAAAGATCCTCTTGTTCCTCTCTAGCCAAATAACCCATATAGTAGCAAAAAATGCACATAGCCAAAGGGTCTTCATTCTTCTATTTCCTTCAAGATCCATAACATCCAAACTGAGCATATAGATGACAGGGATCTCGGCGCTACCCAACATAGTCCCACAAAGTGCTCCATAGTGAAAACACCATGGGGCAATGTGAAAATAAATGATCCCCACTCTCACATTTGCATGGGACTTGGGAGAGAAGAAAATTCTAAGGTTGCCTCCTTAAAAATTGGAATATAATCTAAATGTATACATAGGATTATAGGCTGAAACTAGGAGTTCTCTCCCTTGGCGTAATACTTTTCGTCATCTGAGTTGGGAAGTTTTAATTGCACAGCCAACATCTACGATTATTTGGTTGCTGTGTTTAACTATTTTGTTGTAACTTGTTTCTTTTTTGAGAAGCCCTTTTTTTTCGACACCACTGTTGAGGATATTGGACATGCATTGTTTGTAAAAAGCCTAAGCATGGGCGAGCTGGCTTATCTTGTGGTAACGAATACATAACTTATTTTAAAGTCTATCGTGAATGATTTATATTCCTTACTCCCTTTCACTAAGTTTTGACTTGTTCAGGTTCCCCAAGTTTGAGATATGATTAGAAACATCAACTTTACTGGATGTAGTCATTGCTCGTCCTTAATTAATAGATATACTAATTGAGTTGGAATGTTATTATGATGAGATATGGGCACTCCTACAATAGTGAGTCTTAATGTGGTATGCTCGAGTTTTTGAGCTTGGAAATTAAAGTATCTCCCACTGTTTGACAAATTTCATGTCAATTTTAATTTCAGCCTGGGGCAGCTCTGAAACATACTAAAGAAGGAACCGAGAGCTCAACTTTTTGGTTTGCACTTGGAGGAAAACAAAGTTACCCCAGCAAAAAATTAGCCCAGGAGATTGTTAGAGATCCCCACTTGTTTACGTTCTCATTCAATAAAGGTTGCATTTTATTCTTTCTTAGTATGGTCATTTGAATTCTTATCTCCCTTTATAAATTTGCCTGAGTTCTTTTTTACCATATTTCTATGATTGATATCTGGAAGTTAAATTTTTTTGATTAAGTTGATTATCACCTCTAACTTTTTTCTAATGATTACTCCTGGTGTCATGGGGATCCCCAGGAAACTTTGAGGTGAGTTTTAGACTTCAAATCTTATTAGTTGCTTACATATTTATTCAGTTTTAATTAACCCCTGAACATTTCACATGTGTTTTACTTGATAGGTTGAGGAAGTTCACAATTTTTCTCAAGATGACCTGTTGACTGAGGATATCTTAATTCTAGACACGCATGCTGAGATCTTTATTTGGGTTGGTCAGTCTGTAGACCCCAAAGAAAAGCAAAGTGCTTTTGAAATTGGGCAGGTGCTACCTCAGTTGTGTCTCGTCTCAGAAAGTACGCATTCATTGTTTACTTTGTTAATCAATGAAGTTCATTGCAGAAATACATTGAGATGGCTTTATCTTTGGAGGGTTTGTCTCCGAATGTGCCCCTGTACAAAGTCACAGAAGGAAACGAGCCTTGCTTCTTCACAGCATTTTTTTCATGGGATCCTGCAAAAGCAACTGTATGTGCTGCCTTGACAGAATTTCTCTTCTGTTTTTATATTTTGATTGGTTCATAATACAGGCATATGCAATGAGAGGAAATAATTGTGAATTATGTATTGCCCTGAGTATGCATAGTTAGAGATGAAACACAATATACGATAAAGAGGGTTTTTGGCAAAAAACCAAGTTTCTTGAATCTATTTTAGCAACAACTACACCATAGTCATTGCTCAAGGGCAGAATGGGTGAATTGGAAACTTCAATCTGAAGCAGAAGGGGTCACAAGTGTAGTGTGAGCTAAGAGTTACTGGAATATGTCAGATGCAGGGGCAATGTAAAAATTCAAAACTAAGGGTCCATTCTGGAATGGAACAAAGATATTATATATGAATAAGAGTGATCAAATTGCAATCTTGAATATTTTAAGTGGGACTAGCGTAACATCTTGAAAATTACAGCAAGGTTAAAAGGTCTAGGATGAAATTTTATGGCCTCCTTAGTCCTAATGTTGCCTTGCAACTGCATAGAGGCACACGAGGAGGACTATTTGATACTTTACAAGAACAAAAGAATAGTTGCATTTTATGTTTAGCGGATAGGATGCTGGAAGCAACTAGAATACCAACATGAAAAGAAACCTATTCATTTGAAAGCGATAACATAACAGTAGTGTGTGATTTTATACATGAGTGATTAATAAATAACATTAGCTGTGGTTTTTACCAGGGATGAACAATGTAAAATGAAGAATTGCATCTAGAATGTTATGTTTCTTGGGGAGCACAAAAGTTTAGGTTAATTTGGACGTAAAGAAAAAAGTTTGAGCATGAGTAGCGTGATTTTGAACTGCTTGTCCTAAGAAAACTTTTGAGGTAATATGATTCCTTCCTTTTAGAATAGGCTTCTCTTTAAGTACTAACAACCAATATATAAGCATCGCTCTTAGCAAATAGAAAGACAGCTATCACCAATACCTCATGGTTTTTGCGCCATTGTTTCAAGCATGAAGTTAAGGTGGATGTGTGGTACAACTGAGAAAAATAGAATTAGGAATGAGGATTCCGTGAAAAAGTAAGGGTAGTAGGAGAGAAATTAAGAGAGAATCGTGTCACGTCGTTTGGATATATTTATAGAAGGCCTACTATTGTACCGGTGAGACCGAGTGATGTAATAGCTATGGATAGTAACCGAAGGGGTAGATGAAGACATAAATTAACTTTAAAGGAAATAGTGAAAAAAATATGAAACCTTATGGTTTAATAGAAAGTATGGCCCATAGACTATGACTATGGCCTATGGCCTATGGCTAGCAATTATTGAGCAGATCAAAATAAGGCAGAGTCCTGAAAGTTTGAAACCCAATAAAAAAGCTAAGTGAAATAGTTCCAGCTACACAATAACCTAAAATCAACATGATATGGACTAGAGTTAACCCTACAATTGATTGTACAAGTTCCAAGCAGCTCCACGAGAAATTCTTGAACTGTCCCCCTCCTTTGCCGTCAACTTTAATTACGCTAGCGTCTCATATTAGTTGCAAAATTATGTTTTTTAATGTCTTAACTTAGAATGTTATAGTAAATTTTATGTGCATTTTTTTGGAAATTCATTTCAAAGGAAGGTTGTGCTTCTTTTCTGGGCATGTCTTTACTCACTATGTTGTTGTAATTTTTATGTGCATAGGTTTATGGAAATTCATTTCAAAAGAAGGTTATGCTTCTTTTCGGGGCAGGTCATGCTGTGGAGGTAAGTGCTTGATTTACTTGTAGTTGGATAAGATGGCTTAGTTTAACTTTCTGATCTATTTTGTTAGAAGAAATTATTTAATTTCCCCTGAATTACTTTGTCTCATTTTTCCTCTCCTTTTTTTCTTTCTTCCTTGTTTCTGCTGTTTCTCTTTTCTATTGTTTTCATTTTTTTTGGAGAGGTGGGGTGCATGGGCTCAATGATGCTTTAAGAACAAGTTAATGTGTGATAATATTTTATTCTTGTATCCGTGGTTGGATGATGATGTTGTCAGAGTTGTGTGGAGCACTAAAAACCTATAAATAAGAAGAAAATTAGTTCATATTCCAAGTTGTTATCCTCCATTTTATTTATCTTACTACACTTGTCATAACATGTTTTTTTTGTTCTGATTCTATAACTATGGAAATTTTACATTATATCTTTGTAGATAGGGTGTTTCTATTTTGGGTTGTTATGATTTCTTTTTTTTTTCGAAGGTAAAAATTTGATTAGGTTTTTATGGTGAAATTCTTCTGTTTCGAAAATCATGGAAAAGTTTTAATGACCTAGGGGCTAGTGCTTTTTGTTCTTTAGTCATGAACCATAATGCATATGTGGAGCATTTTCAAGGTTGCCTTAACCATTGTTTTTTCTACGGATGATTATTTAGGAAGGAACAGCACATGTAAGTGCACACAATAGAGAATGATGAAATATTTGTTGTACATAACAAAACATTTGTTCATCTGTTCATTGTTGTTTATTGGAGGTAGCTGCCTCCCTGCATAAATTTCTCCCAATACCAGTCATGTGATGCTATGGGTATTCCCGAGTGCATGTCATATATTTGCTGATATGCCTATTGTACCTCGGTACTTCTGAATCTATCAGTTAGATTAATTATCCCTTCATATAATGATATCATCGAGATTATTCTTTGTTTGATTTTTAATTTTAGTTTGTGGGTCCTCCCTTGTGCCCCCTTTTTCTCTTCATCTTTAAGTTTATGGATAAGTAGATTGTACCTCTTGTGAGCTATGCAGCCCAAAGTTTATTTAGGATTAATTTGTGTGCTTTATGGAGAACTTGAATCTATTTGTCTAAAACATAAAGGCCATTGCAACAAGTATTTCCCACGAAGAGTTGTCACACTTGGGCACAAGTTCAGAATACTACATTTTAAGTTTTTCCCCCTCATGAAGCAAAGCGTTTTTTTCTCTGTTAAGCAATTTTTTTTACGAACAGAACACCATTTTTTTGTTACCAAAAAGATAAAAAAACGCAGTAGTTTACAAAGTGTTACAAGAGGGAATCATTATTTTACAGACACCAGGGCAGTAATCATTTGCAAAATATTAGGTTAGAGTCAAGTAAGAAGGATAATAATAACGATCAAAGATTCAAAATTGTAAGAAAAACTGTGTGTGTGTGTGTGAGAGAGAGAGAGAGAGAAGGAACAAAAAAGGGTAGTGCAAGTCAATGCTACACATGTAAAAAATGCCGAAGGGGCTTGCTGAAGCTGTTACTGCAAATGAGTGTTCTACTTATGCTATCTTTAATAATTGGAAGTGATATGAATACTCTTATAGTTTTTAAATGGCATTATTCGTGCCTGCAAACTGAGTTGATTGTGGAAATGTTTGAAATTTCCATCTGTCTGTATGTGCCTTCTCCTCGTGATTTTACTTGAAATAATGAATTAATTGGGCTCAAGATGGCTGTGTGATTTCCTATGCTATTGCCGATTCAGAACAAGTCCAATGGGACAAACCAGGGAGGACCAACTCAAAGAGCTTCAGCCTTAGCTGCGTTAAACTCTGCATTTAGTTCATCTCCTGGGCCAAAATCTACTGTTGCCAGGAGGCCATCAGGAGCAGGCCAGGGATCACAGAGAGCTGCTGCAGTGGCTGCTTTATCATCAGTTCTTAGTGCTGAACAGAAGCGGTCACCTGAGGCCTCTCCTGCCCAATCTAGTAGAAGTCTGCCAGCTGAAGCTAGCCATCCTGGTATTTAAACAGTATATCCTGTTTATATGCTTTCAATTTCATTACTACTGCAAGATCCAATGTGGTCTATTGTTTGTATTATCTCGAACATCCTTCATTGCTGCATCTCTGAATCTTTTTGTTACTTCACCTCTTCAAAATAGTCCAATCTTCTGGATTGGTTTTCTTCGTTGAGTGAAGATGTTGGGTGTACTCCTAAGTAGTTGGTAGACTGAAGTTTCCTCCAAATGATGATACATACATGAAAGGGGGTAGGGGAGAAATGACTACAAATGAAGTGATATAAAGAAAATAACGAATGGAACTGCTGGAAAGCTTGTCATTGTTTTATAAATTTCAGGTCCTGTGAAATCAAACATATATGAAGCCCATAATTAACTCTTCTCTCTTGAAATGAGTTCTCCTGTGTTGTTTTTATGGTTTATATCACCATGCAGTGAATTTGACTCTGAAGGAAATAATTTCTAATGAGAAGACCTGATAGATGCAAGGAACTTGTAGAGTAAACCTGATCTTGTGCTTGAAATATTCTGACATTTGGGTATTGCTTGTAGTGGAAACGAGGAGTGAAAATGCGGTTTCTGAGGTTGTGGATTCTAATGAATCTTTGGAAGTTAAGGAGACAGAGACTGTCACTGATATAGTTGAACATGTCTCGGAGGTTAATGGAGACGAGTCAGGACCGAAGCCAGAGGCAGAACAGGATGAGAATGGTAGTGAAAGTACTCAAAGCATGTTTATTTATGAACAGCTGAAGGCTAAATCTGACAACCCAGTGACTGGAATTGATTTCAAAAGACGAGAGGTTTGTTTTGTTATGATGCAATCAACTTTAAATGCTTTGTGTGCAGCTTCTTGTTCTGATTTTATGTTGATTCTGCAGGCTTATCTGTCTAATGAGGAATTCCAGGCTGTACTGGGGATGACGAAAGAAGCATTCTATAAATTGCCTAAATGGAAGCAAGATATGCACAAGAGGAAAGTTGATCTATTCTAGAAACTTGAATTCACCCAAATCGAGTGACTCTCTGTTGAAGTAGCATAGTTCTTATAGGTTCACCATGCTCAGATTGGCATATCTTGTGTTTTGCTGTCTGCCTTTTGATGACCCTAGCTGTACTATCTATTGGTTTTGATTATGTTGTGCCCGCTTGAAGAGTGTTCCCCCCCACCCCCCCACCCCCCTCTTTTTTGACTGCTGTTGCATTTGTTACGATCTCGGATTGTAGTTTGAAAGACAGAAGGCAGTTCAAATTCTTTTATTTGGTAATTATGTATCTAAATTTGTGGCAATTGGATTCCCTTTTCTTTTTCATTATCATTTTCTTTTTTAGCAATGTCAGATGGACTTAACATGTTGACTTGATTAATCATTGTTATTGATTTAACTGTGGGTCCCAATATTTATCGGGAACCACTACCTATTCAATGGTTGTGATTGATCAAGTAAACAAATTAAATCAGTATTTTAAGTATAAGTAGCATTTTCCTTTTCTTTTTTGTTAAAAAAGGGTGTATATGTATTGCATTTGTAATCAATTCCAATGTAATGAATTTCAAATGATTTGAAGTTGATGTTAGTTTGAACATTTCATTCCTATGGAACTTTGTCAATTCCCTCCCACACATGAACAATGGAAGCTGAAATGTTTGCTGCACTTTTCACATTGTTTAATGCTTTCTACATTTTGATGATTTCTAATTTCTAATCTATTTGGCAAATTTTGTTTTGCACCCTAAAAGATCACAAATGTCACATTGTACCCTAAAAGATCACAATTGTTACATTGCACCCCCTCAATGTAACAACAGGCTAAATATCGGTAGGAATTCCGTCAATTCTAAAAAGCCCAGACCCCCAGAAAAAATTATCAAAACCAGTTAATTGGGAAAAAAGGAAAGCAGCAAATTTATTCTCAAAATAGAAAAAATAAAGGGTGAATGACTCTTTGCACATTAAAACATTACAAATTTTCAAGTTATATCCTGAAAAATTCGTCTCGTGTTGCTTCCTAAAGCCGATAAACATGTAGCAATGTAATCCAAAACTAAATGTTCGTTGCTTTTTTTGACAAATTTTTTTGTTGTTTTTGTCCCATTATCTCATTTTTATATACAATTATTTGTATGATATTCAATTTTAAGCGTTCTTAGTGAAAAATTCGTCCTCAATTTTGTTAAAATGGATCACATCAATCTTTTAATTTGATTGAGAGTGCAATATGAGAATTTTAATTTTTTAGGGTGTAAAATGAGAATGCAAAACTTTTTCAAGATGCAAAGTGTCATTTACTGTAATCTAGTTTAGCTTAGGAAGAAAATTAAAAAATTAAATAAATTATTTTAACATTTTTACTTTCGTTTTTTGCCTTAACCAATGCCCAAAAAGAAGTTCAATAATATAGAAAAAAAAGAGTCTAGAAACAAAAAGTTCGAATGATCGCTAGACGACGTGAGTTTTGCGAGTTATTATTTATCATGAGTTTACATAATATTTGTGAACTCGTATACAAGTTTCACTACTGGGTAAATATTCACCTCAAAACTAAATTTTTTTTTTTTATAGGGTGTTCAGGTTTGTACCGACCATTCCCTCGAACTCGGATATTAACCACCGTAACTCAAGTGGGTTTAGAACTTGTCCCCTGATGAATAAGGATGATTGACCCCTTATTTATCTCACTTACTAATAGACCATCCACCATGTGTGAGTGATTCCACTTTAATATAATGAGTCTCACTTAAATTTATGATAATTAATTTACTATTGGAAAGAAGTATACTTGAGAAAATCTCAATCCGGGATGAAATGTGTAAGGTGATTGGGTTGAGAGAATTGAGGGCAAGTATGAGTAATCGGTCTTCAATGAAACTTATAAATGCATAGATGCATGAAACTTAGAGTCATAAAAATCCCCATTACTTTTATAACTGTTATATTTCCTCCTCAGCATGAATGAAATTTATTCGAATTATTAATTATCTCTTCCATCTCTCACTCTATAAATCATCAAACCAAAAGCCTGGAATGCATGTTTACTACTTTCCAACAAAGGTAAGTTTTCTCCATGTACACAAAACTCCTCTTGATTCAAAAACATCATGAATATTTTTCTTCCTTTCTAACAAGTAAAATCATTGTTATATTTTGATTTCGTTTCTTCTTATTTAGTTTTTAATTTTTGATTACTTTCCTCGTGTATGTATAACACCGAATCTATTCAATTTCTAAAAAAAATTAATAATTCTTAACTTTTCGAGAAATCTTTCATCAAATATAATCATACGTGCATTTCAAGCTCTTTGAATCTACTAGTTCTATCTTTTGGCGACCTGAAATGATGACATGATCAGCAAGGGGTTCTAATTTCCTTTATTTTTTTCCAAACTTTCTGGTGGTCTAGCTTGAGTTGGAATTGCGATGGCGTTACCTAAGCTTCATTTGATTTCTCTGCTGGTTCTTTCTATTCTTGTCCTTGCTCAATGCACTGGTAAATCTCTAAGTCCCTCTATCACCCCCCACCCCCACTCCCCACATGCAACAACACCAGCCAAAAAGGGTAAATTATACTTTGTATCATTGGAATATGGCCCCGACCTTGCATGACACCTATCACTCATCCAGTCCATCCACCCATCTAGACACGACGCCCTTTCTTTACTCCCGGCACTCTTCACTTCACCCCAGGGCTTTCTTTATTTCTAGTACTGTGCCTATCTATATATTATTTAGTCTTTTCTTATCCTCTCGGTAACCCTTTAGACTGGCATTCCGATATCCCTATTGTCTTACTGATTATCTTAGCCCAGAAAAAAATTAGACTTTCCGTAAAGAGTGAGTCTTTGTATGGGTACAAGAATTGATTGTTATTTACTTAAAATTTTGGGGCAAAGTAAAAGAAAATCGCATAGTTCAATAGCAAAGTGATACAACATTTCATCTAATCAATCACGGACCTTTAAAAAGTTTTGTCTATAGTTGACAAAATGAAACAAATAACACAATAGTCAATGACGTAATAAAAGAAATATGAAAGTTGACGGGGGCATAATTAAGAGATCAAATTATAAATTATCCCTAAAGAATGGGTTTTTCTGCCATCTTTGCAATTTTTCTAATGTTGAGTTTATTTTTTAGGTGGTGTGGGAAAATGGAGACATTCAAAGGACGATGAATGCGAAATTAGACAATCCTGCAATACTGATGATGACTGTATTCACCCAGAATGCCCAACCTGGCTTCATGCTTACAGATGTGATCAAGCTATAAAGCGTTGTTGTTGCACTAAGGAATAAATAATGTGTGAAAAACCTTTGATATGCTTTGCTTTGGTGGTCATTTAGGCCAAATATGTCAATGGAATAATTGTTTTTGTGTTTGTTTACTTCCGGTTTCATTATAAAATTTCTTTTATTTAGGAGAAATTAACGGTCACTCTGTGCAATATACGGAATTTATATCCATTATTATCCTACTCCTATCCCCTACCCGCCAAAGCTAACCCCATCCCACCCCACCCCAATCTCTACCTCTATCTCTCCCTTTCTCCCACCTCCACCCTACTATTATAGGGCCATTACGAATTATATAATATATAGTTTTTTTTATAATAAATTATATGTGAAATAGTCAACAACTGATAATGAAAGATTCAAATTTGAATTAGTTTAAAAGACAGTGTGAGTAGTTAAATGAGCAACATGGAATGATTTAATTGGAGGAGAACTATGTAATATATTAAATAATTCAAAATTATGAGAATTTAGTATTTGGGGAAGGAAGACTTCCTAACTTCTCTTCTTCTAAATTGATTCTTATAGTATATAGTACTAGTAGCACCCCATTCACAATGCATGGCCAAGTGTAGATTTGAATATATTATGCAACTATTTTTACAGTTGAAGTAAAATAAAACAAAATTCCAAATAACAAAGCAAGTCCTATTGAACAACGAACCGAAATAAAAGTATGCATCTACTAAACTTTAACGAAATGTAATTGACCAAATCATAGAACTTATTGCACGAAACGGTATCACAGTGAAATACAACCATGAAGAAGGAATAAAAAATCATGACCTTTATTTTCTAGGTCCTATAGCAAAAAGGAAAAATGATTAAAGAGAATATCAAAAGTGACATAAAAAAACAAACGTTACACAAAAAAAAAACTCAAAAATCTTCTATTTTTCAAATTTTTAAGCATTGTGGCAACCCGTGTAATGCGCGGGTTAGTGATAACATTAGAAAATATTATATGTTTCAAAAATTAAGCACCAAATAAAAAGTGTTTTGTGATAATTATCAAGTGCATAGCTGTGCTCAAAACCCCTAACCCATTTAACATTAGCTTTAGATCATTTTTCACAGCCGGTTGCCATTTTCTTCCAACAGGACGGATTTGTACCTTCAACACCATGCAACGCAGTAAATAAGAAATTTTTTCTAGATTTATTATATGATAAAATAAAAACATTGAAAACTAATAATATTTTCAGTTATACACATTGAAGAAAACAGTCACCCCATGTAAATATATAGAAAGTGACTCTTTATAATCGATGTAACATTCTATTTCGTGATTCATCAATACACTTCAATCTACTCTCATACCTTTCATTCGGATGCATTTATTTTTATTTTTTTACCCAATCAGACCAAATTCACTGAGAGTAATGCCCAGACACACTCTTTTTGTGTCTAGATGTGGGTAACTGTCTGCCCCAGACTTTCAGCTTAATTTTGACGTAGTTAGAAATCGATCCACGAAATTTTCATGATATAAATTTTTGTAATTCTTGAAATCTAATTTCTAATACTGTTAGAAGCATCGCAATTGAACATCTGAGTAAAAAGTTATGAACAAAACATTATTGCCAAATTCTTTCCTACGATCCAAATTCTCTCCGGAATGAGTTTTAACCTTGGAATACCTCCAAACTTCTACTACATCCATGTCTATTCTAACATTTTTCGATGTTCCGAATCCCTTTTTGATGTTATTTTTACCCAGAGATTTTTATAATTTCACTTATTCAATTTCTCCTACTCCAAAAATGACAAGTCATATGAGAGTCTCAATTAAATCTATCACATCAATTCTTTTGCACGAACTTCCTAACAATAATTTAACAAATCTAATATCGTACTTAATAATATTATATATATATGTGTGTGTGTGTGTGTGGTTTTACAAATATGGTCCAAACACACTTAAAATGGAATCAAACATACTATATATAGCTTTTTCTCCAAATCCATGAAGTTTATTAATCAGGAAGCAATAAGAAGCAACAGTACAATGGGGACTAATAAAAAATACAAGGGCAAACCGAGGAAGGGGGAAAACAAAAAAGACCAATCATGACAACAAAATACATGAAGATTTTTTTACTCAACCGCTACTGAAAAACATAATACATTAACATTTGATGACCTCTTTTGCTTCAACACTTGAAGCTTATTTTTACACCTTAAAATGTGAGTTGCCAAGAAACCACATGTTGTGTATGCACCATCAACAACAATGACCTGTCTTGTAATATATGAAGCAGAGGAAGGCAAAGGAATGTCACAAGTCCCGAAATCTTTTCTATGGGGCGAAGAGGAGTTTGAGCCATAAGTGGCATGTACATCATCATTATGGATGGATCCATATCCTCCTAGAGAAAATGAATAAATTCAAACCCCGAGTATAAATTCTTTTTTGAGGAAAACCAAAAAAAAAATATTCAGGGTGTTGATACGATAAGGAGTTTGAGAGAGAGAGAGAGATCATAAAGATTTCATAACGGTGGTTCTGACACCCGATGGTGCTACTGTTGTCCTTTGCCCATTCACAAGCCAAGTTTTACTTTGATTGATTGCAGCTGAAAAAGGAAAAGGGTGGTTAAAATTTGAAAGAAACTAGGAAATTAATACAATGCTTCCATTTCCAAATGCTTTTAGAAGAGGGTGGGACAGTTGGCATAAATGGTATGGGGAAGCGACATTGGTTTCCATTATACTTTTGAATTCTTCTGCAGTGTAGTCCATAGCTCATTTAAGTACACTTGTAGCAGCATTATTTACCTAATGCACACAACACCACAGATACAAGTTTTGGAAACTTCATTAGCAAAAATGTGCTACACTAAGCTACTCTACAATGAATATGAAAGACAATTTCTTGCTAGGCGATATGTCGATTACAATTATGGAAAGGCCAACTAAATGTTTTTCAGAATACGAGTCAGGATGTTGAGTTTGCTATCAAAAATAGAAGAGACAGCCTTCATTAGCTCTCCTCAGGACGGTCTTGATGACAAATCGCACACTGAACCAGTTATTTTTAACCCCTTGGCTGCCCATTCTTTCAGCTTTTCATTGAGCTCTGTTTGATTCCTTGAACATGTGTGTACATCAGCACCAAACCCAACTCATTCCTCCACTATAGCACACCTAAAATTCATCATGCGTAAAACCCAAATAACCAATTAGAACAAAGAATCAATCTTATATCTTTTGTTTTGTTTGAACGGTTAAGGGTGTCTAGGTCATCTTACGCGCACCTCGACTAATCTCCTCCCAGTCCGGGCAACGACAAATCATCTACGCCGGGACTAGAGTATTCATGAGGGATAAATCTCTTATGATCAGACCCAAAAAGGTTGTCAAAATTTGAACTAAAAACATCTAAATTTACACATATCACTTGAACTACCTTGAGGTTGAATCAATGTTATATCAAAATAGACTACATGTGAGAAAAATATAGAGATACCAACCCAATGCCCCTGATACCACCAGTGACAAGAGCAGTCTTCCCTTTACGGGACCATCTCTCTTCTCTAGTACCCATTTCTACGGATTTAGACAGCTTCTTCATTAAATCCTGGTTTTCCATTTTTTTTCAGGAACAACTCTTCTTTTATTGTTCTCAATTGAAATGTATACGAAATAGAAATAGAGAATGATGGATTTGTTAGGTGGGTCTCTTGAGCTTTTATAGTGCACTTGGGAAATAATTTTAGATGGGAACAATAGCACAACTTGGGTGACGGCAATGGCCTACACTTCCAATGGAATCCTGCACGGATGGTCTCATGCTTCTTCTTTTTTTTTTTTTTTTTGAGATTTTAATGCTATGATGGGTGCTGTCCATTGTTATTTTAAGGACTCATTCCTTTGTCCTATAAATCATCTTTTGGATCAATACAAACTTTACATTCTGGGAAAAAAAATATTAGTAGTTCCCACAAAATAAATTAACTTGTGTTCCGTGTGTAGTATTCTATTCTGTGTTTAATTTCTTTAATTTTGAATTTAGTTAAGTAGACATAGCTTCAATTTGAAAAGAATTTACCATTTGTTTCATTTCAAGTCCTAGCCAAGGGTGATGATTGAGTAAGCATTGAATTGTTATGCTATTGGGAGTCATACATCAACCAAAGTATGAATTAACATCAAGGCCAATGAACCTTTTTTCCCTCCTTACAACTACCCTTAAATTGAAGTTAACTTAGTCAGTTAATTGGTTGGTTTGTTATATTCTTCTCTTTTAGACAGATTTTATGTTGGTGTCATTGTTTCAAACTAGGAACACACTTGATGTTGAAGTAATGGATGTTGATGCTCCCCAAGCATAGATCAATCTTATCAGTTTTAAACAATTGAGTGTATTATGATATTATCTTGTTCCATCACACTACCAGCAACAAACCTTATGCTTTGATGCTAAATATAAGCGCATGATTTGATTCTGCCATCACATTCCTTTTTTTTTCCCCTGATGGGTGCAATGTTATTCATTGAAGTTGAGACTTCAAGTCATTCAAATGTACTAATGGGTGTTGTTTGGGATTATGTTTCTTTGGTAAGAGAATGGAGGCAATGGAAACATGATTAGACGTTTGAGTTATAAATTTCTTACGGTATGCAAATTGGATATTTGAATGTGTCCCTTAAATTAGAATTGTGGAGTGTAATTTCACTTATTGCCCAAAATGATCCACGTTCGTTAGCGTGCATCAATGAGTAAGTAAAAAAATAAAAAAAAAATATATACCATCATAAGATCTTTCTCATAGAGGTTTGAAATTTTCAGTCCGATAGCACAACCATGATATTAGTTGATGTGCATTCTTGAAAGTCTTTTTAAGTCATTCCAAACTATTTTCACAAATTCCTCTTATCATTTTTTTATGATATAGTCGATCTTAAGTAAGATTTTATTAATTATAAATTTTTCGTTACTAATATTTTTTCATGTTCTTTAAATTTTTTTGTATGTTTTACATCCAAGTGTTGCATGTTTAACTCTTATTGTGAATATGTTTATAATTATTATTTTATTATCTTCTAATTTGTCAGGATCCATTAATTGTTCATTTGCAAGACTGTTTGTACACATAAACTAGATTGTCAATAGAGCTGCCGAATGACCCAAAGGAAAAGAATATCAACAAAACCCACTTTAATTAGGAAGGGTTTACCTGCGTTGATGATGGATAAAATATGAAAAGAACACTCGGTACAAATGGGGAAGATCTCTGCTGAAACAAGGAAGCAATTCCGATGGAGATGGTGAGAGAACCAGAGATGTAAGTGAGCAGAGCCGTTATCTGTTCAAAACACTACAACATTATAATACATTTTGACTGGATTACAATACCACCTCCCAAGTGGTATTAAAATAGGCTTAATAGTACTTATAGAGGGTATTAAAAATATACGGTTAGCATATGTATTTGATTTAATATTATACACAACTGTAACTTTTGGCATCCGTAGTATAAGGCCGGATTAAAGTATTTTAAACTTATACAACTCTCTAATACTCTCTATAATACAGCAACCAAATGAGACCTTAATTGTATGGAAATGACTTTTAAAAAAATATATCATGTTGCATGCTCAGCTGCCAATTGATTCCAAATCCACTAGTTTCGTAGTCTTATCTTTGTGTATTATCAACTACATTCTGACCCCTCACTTACAAGCAAAAGCCTGAGGTTGGGACGAAAAAGCTTCTTTAACACTACACAATCATAGAAGCATTGTCCAAAAATGAATTTCATCCTCTGCAATTTATCTAACAGTCCATCAGAGTGACACAATGAGTTCTATATAAAATCTGTCTTTTTAAGGTCACAGCGCAGCAATAGAAAAGTTGCTGGCTAATTGGCTTTAGCCCCTAACATCACAAAAATCTTATTACACTTACCAGAAAAATTCACCCCTTGATACATATGCTTGGTCCCATATACTCATTATTCCTTCCCGAGCAGCATCTGCTGAGGCTGTGACCATGATGGTAATCTCAATTTTGGATGATATGAAAGGATGCTACCAAATTTTCTTGCAATGATCATTGCAGCAAGCTGAGTTGACAACAATCATCAATCAAACTAACTGAACCATGATGTAAGATCCTAGCTTGCATTGAATACAATAAAGTTAGTAACATTGTTGTAGGAAAAAATCTTTTGTTGCAATGGGAAAAACAAAATGATTGCAATTCATTCACAAGAATGAATAGATATGTGAATATTCAATAGAGAACATACACAGGTGCAATGAAATTGGAAACACAAATCAAGAGGGCATTGAATTTGAGGAAAATAACTTACCTTTGGATTATATATCATGTCAGTAGCATTCTTGGGGGTGGCAATTATCTTTCATTTTGTTTTCTGCAAAATTTACATAGTATTAACGAAACTGAAAAAACCATAAAGATTAAAAAACCTCAATTTTTTTCCCACAGCAGAAAAAATTACTTCGAAGTTGACAGTGTACTTTTGCTGCAACTTCCATTTGAAAATCATGAGAATAGGGATCTAATAACTTACCTGAAGAAGTCATTGGACACCATGCGGTTTAGTGCTTTCGATTGGCACACGATTATTGCTTCTGGTAGGATACACTGATAACAGAAATACATTTGGTCATAAATAATATGATGATGAGTCCATAAAAAATATAGAAATAAATATTTTGGGTCATAGATATCATGGAATGAAACCACAAGAGCCAACATTTGGGTGGTGGGGAGGGAATCAGAACTGAGAACAAGACAGAGTCATGAGGTATAATATGGTACTACATGAAAAGTTCTGAAACATTATATCCACTGCTCCCAACCTTATATTCCTAGCTCCAATTCATGGCTTTCAGACTTAACAGCCTAAGAAATGGACAATGTGTGACGTGTGGCATTGAAACTTCATATTATTATCTCAGGGTTGAAAACAGCTAAAGCCAATGCACAGTCATAAGCAATTCCTAAAAAATGGGAAGACTATAAATCTGGAAAGTACTACATGAAGAATTGTATGAGTGGATAGAGGAAAGAATGGGGTTTTTTTTTGCCAAAGCTAGAAAGCAGAGAAGAATAAGAAGAGGTTCTCTGTTACAATTATAGAAAATCAACACAATTTTCTTCCAAATCGACATTAAATTATGGTCTTTTAGGTTCCATAGGAGGACGATGAGATAAACAGCGGTTAGATAGAATAGCAGTGCCTGCTACAGCTATCAGATTTTAATTGCAGTTAGAACGGAATGTAGGCAGGGTCTGATGATTATAACTGCGCTTAATATATTTAGGTTGAGAATGTAAAGAGTCTGAAAAAGGCTACAATTGAGCTTGTATTACTAATCAAGGGTAAATTGGCAATCGAAAGTTTTTACCATTAGCTGCCTTTAAAAAGAAGTATAGATATACTTATAGATAATTTACAAAATTTAATGATGCATAGGAAAAAGTCCATGCCATCCTCTTCTTCAATCCCTTTATATGTCCTATTACCAATTCTAAAAAATTGAAACCTCAGTACCTCCATCAATGGGGATCACATTACTGAAATAGGATTAGTCAACAGCAAAAATTGGCGGAAAATTAAAACCGTTACCACAATTGTCTTGATGCAACAGCATGCTGTAGCTGTTGTCTGTGTGAAAGAACCAGATCCTGAATCTATTACAAGCCCAGAATCATATTTATCCAGGTGAAACATTGTCCGTTTCCTGTGCACTCCAAGAACTCTTCAAAAGCAACCTTGTACTCTGATGAAGATAAGCATTCAAATCATACCCCGCAGACTTCATTCTTTTCAGTAGATCAAAGGCATGCTTCACCTTCTCTTGAGAATGAAGAAGAGACCTGAGCAGCTGGTTGGAAATTCGCGGCATCAACAGGAAACCTTTCTCCAGAGTGTAGAGGAAAATGTTTATTGCTTGATCCAAATTGCCATCCTTGCAGAGACTATTGATCAACATCACACAACTTGGAGGAGACACAATGACCCCGCGCTCCTCAAGAACAGAAAATATCTTCAGGGCTTCCTCGGCCCTCCATGCCTGACACAACCCAACGAGCCAAATAGTGTATGGTGCTGAATCAAATTCTCTCACCTTGAAGTCCTTTTCAATCAAGCCTCGAACAGCCATTTCCACATTTCCTTTTTCAAAATATTCCTCTGCCAACCTAATTGTTGCATCATCCCAGCCAGGAAGGCTCCTTAAATACTTCAGCCAAAGACTAAAAGCTACAGAAATCTTTTTCTTTCGACAAGACCAAGTCATAAGTGATTTGTAAACTGCGGAGCTGGGGGTACACCCATTCTGTATCATTTCCTCAAAAAGCGCAAATGCATCCTCTTCTCGGTCAACCCTTTGGAACCCATCGATGAGTGTTCCATATGTGACTGAATCAGGGGAATGTCCCTTGATTTGCAGTTCCTTGAAGAGCTTGAAAGCACCATTAATTTTCCCTGCTTTGCACAAGCCATTGATCAAAATGTTGTAAGTCATGATGTCCGGTACAATCCCACTATCAGCGAGCTGCATGAGAAGCTTGTAAGCTTTCAGAATTAACCCTGAGTCACACAATCTCTCCACCATTTTTTGGAGGCTTGCACTATCAAAAACCCGGTCTGCACCTTGGGAAAGCCGAAGAAACAATGAAGGATTTCGTCCAATCTCCATCTTGTAAAACATGATGTGAGCTTCTTCCAACTCACCAGCCTTACACAGTCCCTGAATAAGAGCATTGAAGGTCACAACTGAAGGAAAGCATCCAAGTTTCTCCATCTCATTGAAAATTTGCCTTGCCTCACCTACAAGGCCATTCCTGCACATACCACAGATAAGAATGGTATAAGTGCAAGTGTCCGGAAAAAGATCATGGTCTGAAATTTCTAGTTTAAGAGATCCAGCTTGGTCCAAGAGACCCATATCACAAAACCCTTTGATCAGAGTATTATAGCAGAGAGTGTCCGGTACCACACCTCTCTCCGTCATATCCCTCAACAAATTCAAAGCATCCTTCACCCTTCCTGCTTGAGACAACACCCTTATCATAACTGTGTACAAGATAAGGTCAGGTTTAATATTTGCCTCAAAGAGTTTCTGGAACAAATCGTGCGCTTCATTAAACCTCCCAGCTCTAACTAAACCATCAATCAAACAACTATACGCTTTTACTCCAACAACATATCCATCCTTCTTAAAGCACCTCAGAAGCGCAAAGGCTTCATCTATTTTACCCCCTTTACAAAACCCATTGAGCAAAGCATTGTAAGTAACAAAATCAGGAGTACACCCACTACTTTTCATCGAATTATAGAGTCTGAATGCATCGTCGATCCTCTTTGCTTGACATAAACCTGAAAGAATCACCGTATACGTAATCTTACTGGGCAAAATGCCTCTCTCAGTCATTTCGTCAAACAGTTTAAGCGCATCTTGGGTCTTCCGATTTTTGAATAACCCATCAATCAAAATGCTATATGTAGAACAATTCGGCTCACAATTTGATTTCAACATCATGTTATATACAGCTAATGCCAATAAAATCAAATCTTTCTGAACCATAACATGCAATATCATATTATTAGTAAATAAGTCAGGTTTGCAATCAAACTCTCTCATTCTACCAAACGACTCGACAGCCTTTTCGGCCATTTTCAACTTCCAATAAGCAGCAATCAACACAACAAAAGCATCCGAACATACATGAAACCCACAACTTTTTACCTCTTCAAGAGTTTTCCAATACAAATCAAACCTATTTTCCCCAACAAGCATATCAACGACAAAATTATGCGAAACCCAGCAACGATACCTCTTTCTTTTCGCTGCCCAGATGAAAAATCGAAAACCCAGTTCGGGGTTTTGCTGTTCTTGAAGTACAGAAGCAACAATTTCAGGAGATAGAAAATGAACTACCTTTTCAAGAGCATTCTCCATGGGGTTTACTGTGTTGACAAGATTGATAACTTCATTAGAAATAGATATTTCGCGAGAGGAGGTGAATGGGGAAGTGTGGAAGTAGTGGAATTTTGGTGGGTGGTTGGAGGTTAAGTGGGAGGTTGGTCTGAGAACTGATGGTAGAAGTTTCATCGTTGGAGGATAAGTAATCCTGTTTTTGTTTGTGTTCTTTAGGGGTGTCCAGGAGGATTGTCATTGTTGGTTCATGGGTTTTGGGTTAGGATTTCGAACGAACAGAGCACGATCGGCCGTAGGACTCCGAGATGTGAATGGTGGTCGGCCGTAGAACTCAGGTGGAGGCAGATGCAGAGCGCAGAGTGGGAGCCAGAGAGAGTGATCGATCCAGCGGACTTAATACCACGTGACTATCACGTGATTAAATTTAAAGAAATACTTACTGACACTTAACTCCCCGGAATTTAACACTAATTGGAGAATATCGCCCTAAAAACTAATCATCTCAGATTACACTGATAATTTGTTACTGTTAATTCAAGTTAATTTACCCACATTGGCAGACTATTCCGGTTTTTCTTTTTCTTTTTTTTTTTTAAATAAAAAATACAATACATATTTCATTAATCATAAGATATTACATTAAGTTAAAAATAATTTAAATAAAATATATAATTGAAGGGTCAAAGTATAATTTACACTTTTCACATTTACATTCTTTCTCAGGGCAATGGACCGGAAAAAAGTGGGTATTCGTCCAAACCCGCTCTGTTTGGACCGAAAATAGACTATACATATTAGACGGTGAATGTATACGAGAATACCCGTATAAACCCGTACGAGGATGAAGACGGGGATGTACATACCCTTACCCCGCCCCCGCTACCCGTTATATATATATATACTCGCAAGTCCTAACTAAACATATTTTCTGTAACTACCAATTTAGAAATATGGTAATCAAACTAATAAGTGGAATTATTATGTGATAATCTTATCAACTTTTTTCCCTAATTGTTTTTTTTTTCTATTTGCGCTCACTGATTGAAACTGTTAGGAGTTTAGATTGACCATACTCTAAAAACATATAAGAGAAAGTAAGATAGTTTTGCATTTCATCATGGGTAGAAATGTTGTGAGTCGAGGTTGATGAGTTTCTCTGCTAGAGTGAACTAAGAAATTTTGAGAATTATTGAATTAGCGAAATTTTAAGTTCTCATCTTTTAACACTTTATGTCTGTAATATGAATTATAATAATAAAAATTCTTCTAGGAAACTTCAACTATAGTGTTATCGTTTTTTTAGTTTAATTTTATTTTTCTTTTCTTCTTTTCTCTCTAATAGTTCTGTTTCTCTTTTTGTGGTCCAACGACACTTTAAACATAATATTATATTGTTTTGGATTTTACATTTTGCAATCTAGATTATTCACTAGATTTTTTAAAATGTTGTTGAATTGTTTAAAATATTAGATTTATTTAGAATTTTGGATTATGCTACTTGGGCTTGGGCTTAAGCGGGGACGGGGACGGGGATTAGAAATTTATCCGTAGACGGGGATGGGGATGAAAACTATACCCGTTAACAGGGGTGAACGGGAGATGGATAAAGTTTTTTTAAGCAGGTACGGGGATGAAGACTACACTCCCCGCCTCCCGTTTCGGTCCACTGATATCCCTACCTGTAATATAGCTTATTCGTCAAAAAATTATTAATAGGGTATCCAAAATATTTATTTCCAACCCGAAGTGATAGTCTATTGTAGACGAAAATAAGCTCTAAACTCGAAATTTTTTAATTCGAAACTTGACAATTATCTTAGGATATGGCCATAATTATGATATGGATGACTTGCTTTTTATCGAACCATAAAGGAATTAATTGATTTGCTAGCAATTTTTTTTTCATATCTATATTATCTACTTAAAAATGAAGATTAAGAAATGAATTTCGTAAAAATAAATAAATAAATAAAAACTCTTTATCGGATTTGAAATGATGACTTAAACCAAACGTTACCTTTTAGTTAAAAGAGTTCATTTTATTCAATTCATGAATTAACCCACTATAAATACATTGCATTTATGAATGTATATAATATTATACTATTTCATTCGTATCTTTGATACAATATGTCGAAATTAAATGGTTCGAATGAAAATAGAAAAAATAAAGAATTTTGAAGTTGTAGTTGTAAGCATTATGTTTCTTGGATTGTAGTTCAATTGGTCAGAGCACCGCCCTATAAAGGCAAAAGTTGCAGGTTCGATTCTGTTAGTTTCGATGGATTCCATAAATACATCAATTAAAAAAGTAGAGCAATCAATTATACATATTAATAAGAACACCATAGAAATTCAGCATGACACAGAATTCTAAACTAGCACAAACTTACAATAGATAATAAATATTTTTCGTGCCTGAAGGAACGGAATAATAAAAAAAATGATCAACAATAAATAAAGTTGTATTCACATTCAAAATCAAATCACAAAGATAGAGGAAAGAGAAAGAATTTTAAGCACCTATTGTAGTGGAGGGTGAGCGGTGGTAGTGGGGGTGAGAGACAATGATGGTTGTGGTAGGTGACAACAACAATTACTGATGGTGACAGTTGTGGGTGACAATAGTAATGGTGGTGGTAGGGGTGATTGTGGGACAGCGACAGTAGTGCTAAGGTGGCGACAGTGGTGGTGATGGTAGGCAACATTGGTGTTGGTGGGTGCTAACGATGGTAGTTAGATTATGGTGGTAGTGGTAATAAATATAAAAATAAGATCACAATAGTGATAAGTGGTGACGTTGGATGATGGTGGTGGTAATTAATGATGGGTGGCAATGGTAGTGGTGGTGGTGGTGATGGGGCGATGAAGATGGTGTTGGTAAGGGGTAGTGGTGGGACGATGGCGGTGGTGGTAGGATGGCGGCAACAGTGGTGGTGATAGTGATAGTGATGGTGGGGGTGGTGATGATGGTGGAGGGACGGTGGGGGGTGGTGGTTTTAGAGTAATGACAATGGTGGTGGTGTGAGGGTCACAACAACAATGGTGGTGGGGCGATGAGTGTGGTGGTGGTGGTGGGATGGCGATAATGTTGGCGACAACGGCGATAGTGGTTGTTATAGCAGAAGTGGCAGTGACGACGACGACAACGGTGGTGGTGGTAATGGTAGTGGTAGTGGTAGTAGTGATGGTGGTAGTTGGGGTGGTGGGGCGGTAGTGGTGGTGGTAGTGGTGATGGTGGTGGTAGGACAATTTCATACAGTACTTTTTTTTTAAAAGTATTTATGAAAAATTATAAATTTTAGAAATACTTTTAAAAAATTTCCTCAAACACACTCTTAAGAGTCTATTTTTCTTATTAAATTTGGAGTGTTAATATTAGCCGTCATATTAATTTTAAAATAAAATTTTAATTTTATTTTAAAATGATCTCAACTGCGAAAAGTAAAAGTCATTTTATTTATCTTTTGAGATTTTAATTGTATTATATATATATATTTATATATATATAAAACTTATTTATTGTATAATTTGTATTGTATGGATAAAATATGAGTTCTTGTTTTTTATTTTAGATTGAGTATTATGATCATTTTATACAAATAGTATACAACACGAAATCGAAACAACACAATGACACATAATACACAACTTGATTAATACCTTAGAAGTTTATAACGTTATTTACGAATGTTTTTGCTAATTTATCTACCAAAATGTGACAGCTTCCTAATTTTCCAAAAACTCAATGGTGAAGATTCAAAATCTATCACTACTGGTACAAGAAACCTAAGTATTAGTCCAGTAGTCATTTTTTCTTTCTTTTAATACTAAGAATAATTTTATCACCTAGCAAATTAGGTTAGGGCCTTTTTTGGTGTGTAAACTAATTTTAGTTCTATCGAATTTTTGGCATAAAAAAAAGTCCTTTGATTTTTGAAAAAAATTGAATATAGCCTCTATGTTGGCAAAAATGTTAAGGAATTAGTTAGTTACTCATTTTCATTACCCATTTTTTCCTCATTACATGATTTTAGTAGAAAATATAGTTAGTTTTTTCTTCTTCTTTTTTCCGTTTGTAATTATAGGTTTTTGTTGTATTATCTATCAGTTTTGAATGATGATTTGTGTTTATGGAGAAAAATGTACATTAACGATCTATATTTTAATGTACATGTTTGATGATCTGTTTTTTTAAAATACCTGTTTGACAATCTGTGTATATAGAGAATAAGTTATATTAACGATCTGTGTTTTAGTGTATCTGTTTAACGGTCTATATTTTAGTGTACATTTTTAACGATATGTGTTTATGGAGAATTAAGTACATTAACAATTTGTATTTTAGTGTACCTATCTGACGATCTATGTTTTTAGTATACTTGTTTGACAATATGTGTTTACGGAGGACAAGGTACATTAACGATCTGTATTTTAGTGTATTTGTTTGACAATCTATATTTTTAGTATATTTGTCTGACAATCTGTGTTTACGAATAAGAAGGTATATTAACGATCAGTGTTTTAGTGTACTTTTCTGACGATCTGTGTTTTAATGTACCTGTTTAACGATCTGTATTGTAATGTATTTATCTGACGATTATTGCGTACCTGCTATTTTTTATATTTTTTATTGTGTACCTATTATTTTTTATTTTATATATATATATTAAACTTGCATACTTATTTTTTTTAGCGTATATTAAGTTTAAAATTACACATTGCGGGACACATGGAATTGTTCCATTAAATGAATTAATTACAACATATTCAAAATTTGAACGATGTTTTTAAAAAAATGCTGGATTAAATTTTTGAATTCATAGGACACCTTTGAATTCAAAAAAGAAAACCTATTAGCTGCTTTGGATAGTGTCCTTCTTCCTTAAAACTCCAAGTTGGTGTTGATCATGGAGAAGAATAAGTTTTACTTCAGTAGAAAGAAAATTCACGTGCAGATACACAAAAATTAAATTATCATAGATAAACAAATTAAAAATTATATTTCATTCATAAATGAGAGATTATATATGTGGTTCGTTTGCTTTATATCTATAAACAAAAAATAGAAAAGGTCATCCTTCAACTTTGCCTCAAGATTTTTTGCTTTCTTTCTCTCCTTTTGCAACTTTTTGTTGAAGGAATTGGCCATTTTCTCCCACTCATCTTTGTCT